CGGGGACAGTCGTTGATTCTCCCCTGGCTGCTGACCCTCAGCCCTGGGGTCTGCCCAGGGAGAGCTCTGTCTCCCAGAGGGTCAGGGGGCCCCTGTGACCTGCTGCTCCTTACCTACCGTCATCCTGGGTGAGCACAGGTCAGGACACCTGACGCTACTGAAAGTGACATCTCCTTGATGGGTGGCTGGATACTTTGCCTCTCTCCCCAGGCCTTGGACACCGGATGATTCCCTCCCAGAGACAGAAAATAACCCCACACTGCCCAAGACTTATTTTTAAGCTTTGGATTCTGAAATTTTCTTGCTGCCACCTTCTTTGTGAAGCCAGTTTTTCAACAGAGACAATATTCGGGGGGGGGACAACAACATGGAGTGAATCAAACCAAGCTGACACATCTGGTCCTCCAAAAGAAATCTGGATTGGAGGGAGAACAGCCATTCTCAACTGGTGAAACAGTGAAGTTCCCTTGTCCTTATTTTGCGTAAGAAAAATAAATAATCTGATGTTACCTCAACAAATTATTTTTGATGAGTGCTTGGCTCATAGGAAAACTGATTCTGTTTTATGGAATAAAGTGTTACCTGATTTTAAAATTAAAAATGAAGCCAATTAGGATTGTTAAACTGAAAAAAAATAAAAAGATGAAGGCAAGGTAGAGTGAATCAGGAGCATGCCAGCAGGAAGGTGATGAATAGGGAGAGGAAGGACAGTGTTGTACATCCCAAGGGCATATCAGTCTACCCTGGTATCATGTTCACTGGGATGTCTCTGATCAGCTCTTCCCTGCAGACTCTCTTGACCACACTGTGCACACTCAGAGGCAACAGAGAGCAGAAATCAGTTTGCCCCAAGGACAGCATCTGGCCATCCTCCCCAAAGTGGGTAGTCCTTGCAGCCATCCATGATGAACTACAGAGATAACCGAAGTACAGATTCTTTTGCAGAAGCAAAAGGATTCACTAGTCCTTTGTTCACACGAGGAACCCTAATTCCTCTGGCCCTGTAGCTCTAAAAGGGCTCATAAATGAATTTGAAGCCATATTTCTATAGTAGTTGATGCAACACTTGCTAAACAAAATTTTTCTCATAGTGCTAGAGAAAACTAAGGGCTGCACTAACAGCAGAGAGACTATCAGCCCAAAGGCAACCTGTAATGCACCTACTGAGACCATCATGGAATTCATGACCCACTAGGAGCTGGTACACATCATCTTTGTTGATCAAAAAGTGTCACTAATGCTCCACCAAGAATTAATTCTCCAAAATCTCTATAGTTGTAACATGTCTACATTGATGGTCTACTTACAAGTCAGGTTTCTGTCCTTGCTGCAGTTCATGCTGAGGTACGGGATAAAGGGCTTCATAACTTCTTTTTTCCTTTGATCCATGAATTGCAAACGCGTTAAATTTTGTCACATTTGGTGGAAAATAGCTCCAAGGAAGATAAGCTCTGCCTTCCCATTTTGTCTCACCTCTGGACACTTTGAAAGATAAAGTAAGTTCTTGCTATGGAAATAACATGTGATACACAAAAGTTAAATTCAGACTTGTACCTTAAACACACACATATTGCTTGCACACTTAAAGATTGTGTTTCATAATTTTATTAACTTACTTTCCACACATTTCTTCTTCCAGAGAGTAGTAGCACTAAATGCTGTCCATGGCTGTCAAAATTAAGGTTCCTCATAAGTGTTTGAAAGAAACAAATTTTATTTTTTAATTCTTTTAATGAAAAAGTTTTATTGGTAATGATATCCAAGATGAGGGGACCAAACACAGAATATGCAGAAAAAGAAAGCCTTTACATCACATGAAATGAATATTCTTTTCCTAATCATCTTTCATTTCTGGAATATGTGTGCTTATAAATAAATTTGCAAATAAATAAAAGAAGCAATACAAATATTAGATTATTACAGGGAGAGCCAGTATGTTCAGCTACTTAGAAATGACATCTTTGAGTTTCCATTTCCAGACAACTTCTGTCAAATGCAGACAGTTTCACGTTCTAAGATGGCTTTTTATACATTTTAATAAGAAATAATATAAAATATTTCATTTGGTTTGATGACACAAAGTATGAAAAAGGATATCACATTTTGTGGGGTTTATAGTAAGATAAGCTTCAAAAACTGAAGTGCCCTAAGGGAAACTGGGACCAATTTCCAAGTCTGAATGTAACAACTTTACTAAAGGTTATTTCTGCAAAAAAACTACTTTGATGCTCATTAGGAAGATAGAAAATGCAATCACAGACCGACTAAAACTAGCCAACCCACTAAAGATTTTAATCTGTCTCATTTTTCTCATACAACTACACTTGACCTATGTGCCCTGTGCTTCTTCCAGCATCTACCTGTAGTTCAGACAGCAACGTCACTTTCAAAAAAAAACCCAATATATCCTCAAAAGGAAATTCTAATGATAATGCATAATAGGGATTAGCAGGTCAATAAGAATCAAAAGATTTCACATATTTACATGGAGCAAATTTATTGTTTCTGGAAGACTATCGAACATTTCCACACGAATTGTCTTTTGTGATACTGTGAGGGAAGAGCTTCTTCAGTTAAGTATCCCCCCCCCCTTTTTTTTGGTATTAAGGATTAAACTCAGGGGCACTTTACCACTGAGCCACGTCCCTAGCCCTTTTTATTGTTTGAGTCAGCTTCTCACTAAGTTGCTTAGGGCCTTGCTAATTTGCTGAGGCTGGCTTTGAACTCAGGATCCTCCTGCCTCAGTCTCTGGAGTCACTGGGATTACAGTTGGGCAACACAATGCCTGGCTTCAGGTAAGTATTCTACCAGAATACTTAAATTTTAAATGTAGGTATTTAAAATTCTCTGATTATTTTTATTGTTTTTATGTAGCCTAAGGAATATCCTATGAGGAGTAAAATTTCTTACAAATTAAAACAATGATACTCTTCATGTTATTTTCTTAGAAGTTAATGAACCATTATAGGAATTGGTTGCCTGAGGAAAAACTATGACTCTTGATTAGCTTTCCTGTACTATATAAAACCAAACTATTCTGAGGATTTTAAAATTTATTAATTTTATAGGCAATGTCCACTGTGTTGTTTCTTTTCTTTTCTTTTTTTTTTTTAGAGAGAGAGAGAATTTTTTTAATATTTATTTTTTAGTTTTCGGCAGACTCAACATCTTTGTTTGTATGTGGTGCTAAGGATCGAACCCAGGCAGCACGCATGCCAGGGGAGTGCGCTACTACTTGAGCCATATCCCCAGCCCTGTGTTGTTTCTTAACAACAAAAAAATCTGATTAGACTACAGTGTTATGTCATCACTTTACCAGAATAAACTAATATTATCATCTAATAAAATTAAAACTAAGGATTGAACTTGAGAGTTCTGGCAGCTCCAATTTCTTTACTTTATAGACAAATGATAAGTGCCTTAGCTTTTCTGTGTACAGAGTGAGAACAATCACAGTAGTTGAAATTACCTTACCTTCCATGACAGTTTACAAGAATTCAACATATTTTCCAATAAAGATTTTGTCGTGTTAATAAAGAGATGACACACAGAGACATATAATTGTACTTCTTTTAAAAAAAAAATTCCACACTAGCGCTAGTAAAAAATCAAGAGGAGGGAAAATTTTAAAAGATATATAAAACCTCATTTAGAAGAATTGTTTACAGCTCTCTGAATAGTCCACTAAGGAATAAAAACTACTGGATATTGATACTGGGAGGCGTCTAAATGGCATTTGAAATTAATAATAGCAATATGTAGGACTATTTTGTTTATTAAATACTTTACTAATTTAAAATCTGCTATAATTTAGATGGCAAGTGAACATACTTTACTTTTTCACATCTATAAGAATAAAAAAAAAATACAGTTTGTCAACAAGGTAGAGAAGTTTCCCAGGGAAATAAACTTCAACAAAGACACTCCAACATTAATATTTTCTGTGAGTCTAGGAAAATCTATGTCACTGAATAAAAACTTGTCATAGTACATACTAGAAAAAAGAATGATGAATAAAGAATGGAATACATAAATATACAGTTATACAATATATGAAATTAAAATTTAATATATTTATTTTAAAGTCCCCTAAAAGAAACATTTTTGTGAGTTACATTCATTATATCTATATGCCTCCCTTTATTTAGAGTGTTTGATATATAATAAAACAAATGTATAGAGTAAACTATAAGGGAATGAGTTTTTGTTTTATAATTTTATATTTTGCAAAAAAATTTTCTTTAAATTGATCACAAAAATTAACAATATTAGTGAATTAAAATTTACATTGATATAATATATTCAAACACTTTGAAATATGTATTTTAAATATATATTCTGAATATAAGCTTTGTATTTGACAATAAAAGAAATGCAAGTTAGCATTGTCTCTAATAGCTGGAATCAGTGAGCTCTACTATAACCATACAATTTATAATTTTAAAATAATGTGTTCAAATTATGTAGTAATGATTAAGAAAAAAATATTTTATACTTACGGACAAAGTTCAACTTCTAAATACTGTCCAGTTACATCATTCAAGAAAAATACTTCGACAACTTTTGAAAACAGAGATAAGACATATTGAAGAAATTAATTTTGCTTCAACAATATTTTTGTATACCTTTAGAAAAAAATTAATTACATTTAAAAAAATTATTATACTATCCTCAGTAAGAAGCGGGGTTAAATAGACACTGCCTGCAAGAAGAAATACATAGGAAATAAATCATCATCAATTCTTTTCCATATCATATTGCCATAAATTAAAAAGATTTATTAAACCTACTGTTGGTGAGGTCATAGAGAAGTCAACATTGTCACACAGACTTAGTTGCAGTTATCTCTTTTTAGGAATTTATCCTAAGGAAATAATCAGACAACTAGCAAAAGATGTTAAGTATAGCTTTATGCATCAAATTATTACTTGAAAAATAAAAATGATGAAAATTGTTATCTCCTCCTACATAGGATTAGCTCCTATTTTTCTAAATAAATCTCTTATCATACAGAAGAACTGATAAATAAATCATGAAATTTATGTATGCCATGCAATGGAATACAATGGAACCATTACAATCAAAGATACAGTTAAATATTTGTTGGCATGTGTTATAGATTAGACATTAGGTACCCCTTAAAAGCTCAAGTGTGAGATGATACAAGAGGTTCAGAGGAGAAATGATTGAGTTATTAGAGTCTTAATCCAATAAATAGATTAATTTCCTGGTGGGATTAATTTAGTGATGACTATAGGTAGGTAGTGTGTGGCTGGAGGAGGTGCGTCCCTGGGGGCTTGCCTTTGGGGTATATATTTTGTATCTATTTAGGGGAGTCTCTCTGCTTTCTGATGGTCATGTGAGCTGCTTCCCTCCATCACACTCTTCCTCCAAGATGTCCTCCTTCCCTTCAAGCCCCAAGGAATGGAGCCAGCTTCTAAGGACTGAGACCTCAAAACCATGATCCTTCAAATAAATTTTTCCTCCTGTACAATTGTCCTGGTCAGGTCTTTTAGACCCAGCAGTGAAAAAGCAGACTAAAACAGCATGGGAAGCTACCCATGATATTTGACAGGTAAGCTGCAGAGCATCTGTCAAACGTACATGCAGTTAAAATGTGCACGAGTGCCTATGGCTAGAGGTCTGCAAAATGTGCACAAAAATGTAAAGACTCTTTATGTGTGATTGTGGAATATGGGTCAGTGATTTTTTTAAAAAATTATTATTATAATCTTCTGGAATTTCCTAGGTATGTGTTTTTTTGGGGGCGGCGGGGGTGAGATACCTGGATTGAACTCAGGGGCACTCAACCATGGAGCCACATCCCCAGCCCTATTTTTTTGTATTTTATTTATAGACAGGGTCTCACTGAGTTGCTTAGCCCCTCACTTTTGCCGAGGCTGGCTTTGACTTGCTCAGCCTCCCAAGCCACTGGGATCATAGGCATATGTCACCACGCCTGGCATATTTTTTTAAAATTATTTACTTATGAAAATACTACATATTTCCTGTAAATAATTAAGACAATACAAACACATATGAAGTAAAAAGCCAAAGTGTTTTTTACCCCTTTGGTCTTAAACCTACCAGGATTTTTTAGTCTTTCTACAAACTATTTTACCTTTTTAGATTTTTAAAAAATAAAAATAAAATCATATTTGCCTAGAACTTGTTTTCATAAAAATCTTTCCAGCATATGAATATATTCTTACAATGACCACATTATTTTTCTACAGAATGTTATAATTAATTCATCTAATCCTTTATCAGTAGACATTTAAATTGTTTCTAATGGTTCATGTTATTTTTACAATACAATAGCTAAGATACAGTTCCATTAAGAATTCTGAGAATTGGATTATCCCTCTCTAAATCTTTTACTTAAACAAACTAAAATGTCTACCGTGAGGACCGGGGATATAGTTCAGTGGTATGGTGATTGCCTTAGCACGCTACAAGCCCTGCCCTGGGTTCAATCCCCAGGAAAGAAAAGAAATAAAAGAAAGAAAGAAAGAAAAGAAAAGAAAAAAATGTTTACTATGATGGTTACTTTTAATTATCAACTAATCCACAGCATCCAGGTATTAGGTCACACATTATTCCAGATGTTCCTTGATAGTATTCTGTAAGATTAGCATTAAGATCATCAGACTTTTAATAAAACAGATCATCCTTACAGTGTGGGTAGGCCTCATTCAACCAGCTGAAAGTCTTAATAGAAGAAAAAGACCAACTGCTGAAAGAATTCTGCCATCAGAGAGCCTTCAAATTTGAACTGCAAAATCACCTCTTCCCTGGGTTGCTAAGCACCTGCCCTGCAGATATTGGACTTGCCAATGTCTACACCTGTGTAAGACAATTCCTTAAAGAAAACCATTGCCTTCCCCTTGCCAACAGACGCTTTCTTATTTCTATTATCCATCATCACCTTTGAAACACTTTTGTGGCTTCTCTGTACTAAACACAATATCAGATTCTACAAGTACCTTGATTAGCTCACAATCTAGTCTGACACTGAGTTGGAAAATTTTAAAAAATTTAAAAATAGAGGGGCATATATGTTGTTATAGGAAAAAGAAAAATAGACTATTAGCTAAAGTGGGGAGGATTGATTTAGCAAAGAATTCCTAGAGATGGTGCTAGCTAAACTCCATCTTGTACACTGAGTTGGAAATGGGTGAAGAATGGTGAAAACAGCATTCTGGGGAACAGGGCCATAGACTCAAAGGCACACAATTAGAAAAAATTGGGATTTAAAGAACTATAAACAATTCAGTCTTACTTGGCAAAATGTAGTAAAAATTGGTAATGCTACAGAAAGAATAAGGGCTGGGTCAAGAAAAACCTTGCACAGAGATCATATTAAGAAGGGTAAAATTTATCTTGAGAGGATAGGGAGCACAAAAAGGTTTTAACTGATGGATGAGTTTAAATTTTCATTTTAGACAGATCACTCTGCTTCTGAGTAAAGGGAAAAAGGACTAGAAAGCTATACCCTAACCAAAGACAGAAGATGAGAAAGGCCTAATCCACAGCAAGGATGATAGGGATGAAAAGGAGGCACTGAATTAGAGAAACTGATAGGCCTCAGTGAATAAATCCAAGTATGGAAATGAGAGAGAGGAATATCTTGGAAAGATCTTACAATTTTCATATTTGATAATTTGAGTTATTGTTAGTTTCATTGATTGAGATTGGGCAATTAGGGAAAGAAATAGGTTTATGAGAAAAGTAGATGAGCTAAGATTAAGATCTGTTGAGTTTGGTGCCTATAAGTATCTAAAGAGAAGTCATATTGGTGTGTTTACTATGAGAAAGCTAGTATACAAATTTTGTATCAATAAAAAAGGGTAAATGCTTAAAATATAACACACTAACACTGACAAAGGCATGCTACACAAAAGGTGAAAGAAAGATGTTAGCATTAACTAGAAGATTCATTAAAACATCTCTGAAGAAATGGAATCTAAATTACACCTGGAACTACGTGTATTAGAGGCAGAGAGTGTAGAATGAGACCATATGTGGGTGAGAATATGTTTGGGTGATAAGACCATTAACCTTAAAGAAGTTAAGAGCTTTTGGTTGAACATGGAGGCCCAATTCATGAGTGTACAGAAAGCTTACAGGAATGGTTTGGAATTTATCCTAGAAATATTTATAATGGCTTATGATCTGCAGAATGGCATCATTAAGCATTTCAGAAAGATTAATCCAGTAACTTGATTAGGAAGATATTATGGTTTAGATATAAGGTGTCCCCTTGTGTGTTAGATAATACAAGAATTTTCAGAGGTGAAGTGACTGGGTTATTATAGCCTTAATCAGTGGATTAATCCACTTTATAGATTAACTGGGTGGTAACTATAGGCAGGTGTGGCTGGAAGAGATGGGTCACTGGGGGCATGCCTTTTCAATTTATATTTTTCCCTGCTGAGCAGAGCTCTCTCTGCTTCCTAACTGTCATGTCCTGAGCTGTTTTCCTCCTCCACACCATTCCACCATGATGTACAGGCCCAGAGCAATGGAGCTGGCTGTCTATAAACTGATACCTTGAAACTGGGAACCAAATCAACTTTTCCTTCTCTATAATGTTCCTGTCAGGTCTTTTAGTCACAGTGCCAAAAAAGCTGACTAAAACCAATGAAGCACAGGATATCACAGAATAAACCTAAAATCATGTATCTTTGTGACATGTTTTTTAGCCTTAATTTGATATGTGAGATTACTTGCCAGTAGGAAGTAAAAAATAAAATTTCATGTTGGGGTTTGACATTGTTTCTACAATAAGTAAAACACCCCAAAACTTCCATAAAGGTTTATAAAGCTTCAATGATAATTTGAAGATAAAGGCAAAATAGCAATTTCTCAACTCCTCTCAGAATAGGAAATATGGCAGCAATATAAAAATATGGATTTGTAATTGCCATTTTTCACTGTTCTAGTTATATAGCTGAAGTCACATAGGTAATAGAGAAAGAGTCAGAATGAGAGATGCGTAGGAAATAGCAGACACTGCACAGTCAGCCACTCAGAGCACTGCACTCCCTTGCTAGCAGCAAGATAAAATAATAGTTCTGTGAGAGGCTATTATAAAAAGATTTATGTTTGTAATAAAATACAGCACTTCCACTTACCTTCGTAATCCCACAGTCCATTGAAAGGCTTTCCTGGTTCTCCAAGTGGGGCTGGAGGATCGTTGAAAAATGGGGCACTGACTTCCACCATCACCCCTCCCTCACCTGGATTCAGCCTGACAAATGCCGGCTCATGCTTCACTGGAAAAGCATCCCAAGTATGTTCGATTTTAAAATCCATCTAGAGACCGTGAAGGAAGAAACATATTAAAATAAACTCTTTCACGAAATACAAAAGCTTCCTTTAGTTAGAAATGAAATGAAAATTTCATTACCAAATCATAGGAGGGCAACTTAGTACAAGAACAGGGTCCTGGGAGTCCAAAGGCCATCTGTGTTTTGGCAAGTCATGAAATCCAAGTTCTATTCTAAAACAGCTTGTAGGGAGGTTCCTAAAAGCTTTGAGACTTGTTTGATCTAGATCATGGTCTAGTTTCCTCATGAAGAATGTGATAAAATCATTTTCAAAAGGTTCTAATTCAGTCCATGGCAGAACTTGTTAATATACTTAACAATAAACACTATGAATTTATATTTTCTCCTGTGTCTTTTTTCACTGTAAAGTACATAGAATTCTGAGTTACTATGTCCTCTGGAAATCAAGATCATTATAAAAAATTCAACTTGATAAAAATCGTTATAAATCAGTAGAAGCTGTACTATTCTTTTGGCCAAAAACTTTTTCTTTGAGGTCAGGGAAGACTCCAACAATTTGAAGATTAGTAGAGCTGAATTTGGCCTCCTTTTTTCCAAGAAAAAAAAAAAAAATTTTAAGCCCTTTCAAATTCCGAAAACTCAATTACTAAATAACCTCTTGTTTGGTTAATCACTTCTCTAAAACTGAAAAATGGGAACTGTCATTTAAACTTTGAAATAGACTGAAACAAACAGACTTTGCATTTTTAATTATTTTTGCAAGTTTCCAATGGAAGGACATAGTATTAGATCAGAACATTTGCTGAACATCATGAGTCCATCACTTTGTAAACATTATGCCATTTAATGTCACTACAAACTTGCAGAGGAGCTATTATTATCCTCATTACAAATGAAGAAACAGACTACTCCAAGATCACATAACTAGCATGATTAGCAACCGGACCAATGTCAGCCATGTTTTCCCAAAGACACTGCAGGACAAAAACTTTATTTTAGAAGTGGTAGATTCTCCAAGTTATTACTGGTTTCTATATCTTACCCAGAAGATAATCCTGATTTAGTACCTGACAATATTTCCAAACTGTAACTTCCCTTATCTGCAATCTCTTAACGAATCCCCTTGATTCATGTTATTTTTACATCAAGGAATGAAGTTATTAAATGTGAATGAATTTAATTCAATCAATACATGTTCTACTATGTGCCAAGCAGTGGGAGGCCATATAGCTAAGCTCTGTGTCACATAAGGATCCAAGATCTCTGTAATCCTTTCTCTAAAGTATGTACTTCTGCTAACTTTCATCTCTAACAAATTTTAATAAGCTCTAAAATTAATAGTTCTTTTATTACAATTCATAAAGAACTGATAGCACTTCAGAAGAAATGTTCAGTAATTCATATTCTTCACTACTGAAATAGGCTCAAAGAGCACTAAGACTATAAACTGACTCTGATTTATATGGAATGTAGTCTTGGTTTGTAGGGAATAAAATAGCTCAAAGATAAATTTATCTTCTTTAGTTGAAACATCAGGAACTATTCTACAAAAATAAATGTATAACTCCCCATCCAAATTTTGGTTGAAATAAGTATCCTCTTGAGGCCATAGGAAGAAAAAGAAATACAACTAATCAAGATGTTAGAAGTGTGGATTAACTTTGATTCTGGCATCAAGAATGGTGACAGAGTATGTGCTCTTTTCCTAATTTGGAGCATGACCATCCTGACAATTCTGACAAACTATAATATAGCTCATAACTGGGAAGTTCTTATATACTCACTCATTCTTCATACAACCACCATATCCCCCAAAGTGCTGCATATATTAAAGGGATTCCCTATCCAAATCCCAATACTCAGGCAATTGTCTGTATGTCAAAATGGAATAAAACCCAATTCACTTATATGTTCCTAAAAGTAGCCTGTCACTTCCATGTACACAGCGTGAGCAAACATACTTTGTAGGTTTCAAATTACTTTAAAACCTAATCTTAATCTGGAAGATAAGAACAAAAAAAAGCAGAGATTTTCTTTCTGTGAATGAGGAAGTGATAGCTCCAAACCTTTCTACTGGGGTGTTGTTTTGTTTTGTGTTTCCCTTTTCCCCTAAGGTTTCCTTGTGCATTTGTTTTTTTTTTTTTTTGAAAACTACTGCAAGAAATAGTGACTAGATTTTCAACAGTACAGAGTAATGCCATGGCTGATTGTTAAGTCCAAGGGCATAAGATAAGTTTGACTTTAATGGTAAAAAATAACTTATTTTTAGGATGACAAATTAATTTTTAAAACTTTATTATTGCTTAAGAACACTCATGTCAATCTAGGTATGACTGACAACTCCCTCAATTCCCGAGTCTTACTTAACCCCTCCTTTCAGTTTCTCTGCCCACATGGTCATTAATTCAAGAGGATTTGATAGCCACTGTCCTTCAGCCCTGGCCTCGCATTCCCCTTGAGTCATTCTCTACTGGATTCTCCTTACGTCATTTGCTCCATTTTGAATCAGAGAATTGGCCACATCTAGGATACCTGTCAGTAAAAGGAGCTAACCGTTTATCCATTAAGTGAATATTGTTTTGGGTTCTGCATCTGGAATTCTATGACTGTCAGGCTACGTCAAGGAGAAACCTGTTGTTAGTGGCACCTCATCCCTTTAACACTACACATCAGTACAAGAGCTAAAATGATGATTTCTCATACCCAGGAATTCCCTTTCCTTAGTTCACTAAGCTCTTATCAAGCACTCATTTTGTTTGGATACATGCCAGGTGCTGGGGAAATATGTGGAAGAACTCTATGGGGAGTTTGGGATGATTCTCAGAGCAATCAGCCAGGTCACCACTTCCACTATCAACAGCTTCTCTCTGCAATCCAGTGAAATACAATAGGATCCCTTCATCAAACTAAGTCTTAGATGAATTGAAGATTTAAACATAAAATATCAACCTATATAAACACAGAAAAATTTAATCCCTACTAATACAACAAAAAGAGTTTAAAAGAAGATTGTTTTAGTAGAGAAAGCCTTTTAAAATATATTCCCAAACCTAAACACTTGACTCCTTAAAAATAAAAGCAGCAGCCTCCCTCCCCCACCACCAAAAATGAACCTCTCATTAACAAAACCAAAAGAAGTCTTGGAAAAAGTATATGTGTTTTATATTTCAAACAAATAGCTATTTTTTTTAACACATAAAGAGCTTCTAGAAATAAATAAAACCAACAAAATCCCAACAGAAAAGTGGATTAAAGATATGAACAGCCATTTTACAGAAAGAAAACACAAAATATTCAGTGTCACTAACAATGAAAGAAATGCAAACCAAAACAGTAAATTTTCACTTAGATTGGCAAGGATCAGAAAGTTTGATAATATGCTGTGTTAATGAATACAGGGAAAAAAACCACATAACTGCAGTTGGAGTAAAATTGGTACAGCCTCTTGTGAAGAGCAAAAATCAATATCTATCAAAATAAAAATGCAAATATCCTTTGACTCAGCAGTTCTAGTTCTAAGAGTTGTAATACCTGGGCATAATCAAAATGACAACAGTGTAAGTATTTTGTGGTAACACTGTTTAGACTAACAAAATATTAGAAGCATCTTTACCTTTCTGTAGAGGACAGGCAAAGAAAGTATGCTATCATAAAATGAAATACTACATAGTTTTTAAAATCAATGAGGCAGTTCTATATGTCCATCTAAAGAATATTGTGAGGTGAAAAAAGCAGGTGTACAATTGTGCAGTTATTTAATAAAAAAAGCAAGCTTATCTGCATATATGCTAGTGGTGGTTTTCAGGAAGCATATTAAGAAACCAGTGGTAGAGCTGATTGATTTTCTCGAAAGAATTATCTGCTGGAGACATGAAGGAAGGCTTACTTTCAACTTTATTTTTCTTGTTTAACCTGTTTGAATTTTATACTATAAGTATGCATTGATATTTTAAAATAAATAATTTAAAAATACTTATAAAGTCTAATTTAATGCCAAGTGTCTTAAACAGTATGATGACTGAACATTTCCGAAAAGCCAGAATTAATATTATCAAGGTGATTCAGGTCCTACTCTGTAATTTTAACTTCTTAAAATAGTGTTGTGAATTTGAACTTTTGTGCTTTTAACCTTCGTTCTTCATATTATTCATTCATCAAAAGAAGTAAAAAAGATACTCTTGTCTATTATTTTCATTGCTTTACACTTAATAAGGAAAGACCCTTGAAAGGAAGAGCAGGAAAAGAGAAGCAGACAAAACTCTGGGCCGTTAGGAACGCGGAAGAAATATATATATATATATTTATATATATATATTTCAGAAGGTTTAAAAGGAAGAAGTCAGGGGAAAGGTGCTTCCCTAATAAACTATTTGAAGGAGATTTCCAAATTGCTGTGTTCGCAGAGGTCCTCTAGTCCCTCAACAACACTTTTCACTCTGCACCCTCCCGCCCCGCTCACTCTCAGGAGAAACGGAGAAAGGAGGGAGGCGGCCTGGAAGGGGTGGACTACGCCAGCGGGAGGCGGCGGCGGACTAAGGCACCTCGCAGGATTTCCCAGGGAGAAGACCGAGGCCCCACCGGCGAGCGCGGAGCAGCAGAGCGGCGGCTCGCGAGCGCCCGGACCGGAAGCCGTGCAGCGCCCGGGCCGGCGGGCTCCCGCGGCGCGGCGGCCCCGGGGGGCGTGGCCTTGTCCGCCCGCCGCGCGCACGTCCGGGGGCGGGGCTCGCAGGGCCGGCGCGGACGCGAGGCGATGCTAGGGAGGAAGCGCGTGCCCGGGCCGCGGAGGAGCGTGTGCGCACTGTTCGTCATGCCGCTGAAGTTTGAGCGGTCTTCTAAGGGAAGGAAGGGTAATTCGGTGCATAAATACCATGCAACGATTCGAAAATCGGCCGTCAGCCGTCCAGGCAGTCGTTCACGGCCTGCAGCTAAAGGCCCCGACCCGCACGTCCAGCTGCTGGTTAAGTTAGGCTTCTGCACACCTACTGCACCGTGGGAGACCACGGAGTGGTGCACACTGCGCAAATCCCAGCCCAGACGCTTTTAAACTGTGTGATCAGCTTGGAACCTCGCTTAAACGTCAAGCTTTGTGTTCTTTTCCACTTTGTAGTCACATTTTTCATAATGGCCTGCATACAGATGTCAGTTGATTGAATGAATTCATAAGAGTGAAATCTGTCACTGGTTTTCAATCTGTATACTTTTCAAGGGTTTTTTTTTTTTAATGAAGAAAAGTAATATAAAACCATGACATGGTGGTTTGAGAATAAACATATATTAAGTCATTTTCTTTTCCTCTTCTCATTCATAGAGTTTTACATTCACATTTACTTTCCATGCACATTCACTGAATTCTTTAACTCATGAGATTAAAAAAAAACTTTATGATAAAGCCTGGAAACAAATCATGGATTAGTTTGATGAAGATTGCAGGAAGAATTTGAGAGCTTTGGTGGCAACTAACTTTTGGTGGCACCTACCTTGAGGAAAAGTGGATAGGGCTCTCAGGAGAAGATTTAATAAGGAGAAAGACTACATAGGATACTTTAAGGATAAATAGAATCATTACAATTTTGTTTACTAATGATGAAAGTTATTTTGAAAATACTCTTAGAATCCAAGCACTAAAGTCTTGTAACATAAAATATAAATAAAAACCAAGAACTATGGTTTGTTTTCACTTTCATCACAATCACATGAGCCAAACAATTAAAAATGTAGACAAAAATATTTCCCATTTCATTATTCAGTTTATTTGAAAACAACACATCATTTACACCCAGAAGGAACTCTGCTTTAACTCACACTTTTTTTAATCTGTAAGCTTTGAGTGTAAATGTAGTTAAATCTACAAGGACTGGCTTAATATCAATTTAAATCACAATACGACAACATACAAGGTTCAAATGTAGAAGAAGTTATAAGCAAGTCTTTGGTCAGTCAGTGAGAAGTTCATGAAGAGTCACTGAACTTTAACAAAGAGTTGGAGCTTGCACATTCAATTTTCCCTTTTAGTAAGTTTTTCTGTTAACTTCATGGCCACTAAAAACCAGAACACGTTCAATCTTAACTGACTCAAACCCAATTAAATCTTTCTGTCGTTATTGCCTAGACACACATATTTAACAGTCTTTAGAAGAAAGAACAATCTCATTTTCTTAATAGTTAGATGGAGTAAAACATGTAACAATCCTCAAATACCTAATTGGACATACTTGAACATAGTTTTTAAATGTCTTGATGAATTTTGCTAGCATTATTTTGTTTATATGACAGTGTGAATGCAGGGGGAAAAAAGACTTCTTAAATTGTCAAACGGAAAACCAAATCAAGGTGCATTTATGACACGTTGGTTCAGTGGAACTTTATTTCAATCCACAAAAATACTATCTATTAAAAGGCACTAAAACTAGAGGCTATTTCAAGTTAAGTTTTTATTACTAGTGTTATAATTTCTTCCAATGTTATGTGTCTTGTGAAAAAAAATGGTTCAAGCTCAGACAGAATTACTTTTCAAAACTGGACACTAATCTATCCACAAGTGTAAATTTTACTTATTTTTTTTTTCTTGCACAAAATGTAAATTTTCTCTTTCCTTCTATCTAGGGAAACCAACATCTTGGAAGAAATAACTGCTAACTGTGCAGGATCTTCGGGGTACTTCGGAGTGCATACCTTATCACCACAGAGTTAAATATTCAGACAACAGCTGTGTTCTTTCTCTAAAGACCCACGAGGAGCAGACCGTACTATCTTCCGGAGATGAGCAAGTCCGTGCCCCGAAATACTCGAGAGGGGCAGCCTGATGAGGGAGTCTGACAGTCCGGGTTCCCCCGCAGCGGTGGGAACCTACATGCTTTCAACTCCTTTGGCAGGTGGATGAAAAGCGGGCTTTCCCAGTCCAGAAATGCTCAGAATATCCGCAACTGGAGATGCCCAGGAATTTAAAATAGGGGCCTAATGCGCTGACCACCTGGCGCCACCCGCCCGCGCGCTTGCCGGCCGCGATACTAGGGTGGCTCAGCCTGCTGTCAGCCAGGTTCCCACGGACCCGCCCACCTCTTGACAGCCAGCCAATAGCGTGCCGGGGCCGCAGGAAGCGCGGTGACGTGAGCGCTGACGCCCGCGTGATGACGGAGGAGGCGTCGCCGTCTCCAAGGAGCGGTCCGGGGCACCGGTTTCAAAGTCGCAGGGCGGGCCGAGTGGACTTCCGCTGCTGGCCCGGGGCTTCGTGGAGGTCCCAGCGTTGCCCCTAGCTTCGCGAAGGTCGCCGCCGCCGCCGAACAGCCCGCCCGCCCCTTCGGCGAACGCGCAGGCGGCCCGCCGGACCCCGAGAGACCCGCGGGACACCTCCGCACCCGGATCCCCCTCGCTCCCGGTGGGATTCGGCCGAACGTGCAGCGAGTCCACTTGGTGAGCCCGCAGCGGCTCTGAAATCTGAAGTGTCCGCCCGGGCGCGGGGCTCGCTGCGCCTCGGGGCCGGACGCGCGGCCGGCGGCCGGCGGCCGGCGGCGGGCGCTGCGTGAGTGGGATGCCAATGCCCAGCTCGGGCGCCTGACAGCCTCGCGAGCGCGGCCGGAGTTGTGTTTTCCCGCATCGCGAGCTCGGAGCCAGGGGAAGGTGCTGGAAGCTCCCAGCTGGCACTGTATCGAAATGGCCACAGAAGTCGACCCTCCGGGAGACCAAAGTAAGCGCCACATTCCTTTATGGGGAATTCATAAATGATGCCGCATGTCGTCATCGAGAACCAGGGTGTTTCGAATGCCTGCTGGGTCCCAGCGTGGACATTTGTAAGAAGTTAAAAGTTAAGTTAGCTGCATGAAAAGCGTGGCGATGTGTGCTCGAGGATGGGCAGAGCGTTCCATCAGTGCTTGAAGGTGTACTTCAGCCTCCTCGGACGCTGAACGTGTTTGTTATGCGCCTCTGGTGCGCTGAAGAAATGAGAGGGCTGCTGGCCAGGAAGGGTTTCCAAGTCTGCTGAGAACTGAGAACCCAGAGGCACAGCACTCGCCATTTGTTTAGAGGATGTTCATTGAACTACTGTTTCTATTATGTGCCAGGCACTGTACAAGCAGAGATGAAGAGAACAGTGTCAAATTCTTGGAGGGAAATACATGAATCCCACAGATACATCAAAGTGGCAGCAACTGCTGGCTCTCTAATTATCAGTTTCCTCATAGGATAATTGGAATTATTAAATAGGCATCAAAATACGTAAAGGGTTTAGAGTAGTGTCAGATACATTGTGCTAAAAAAAAATTATTATTAAACTATTGTCAAGGAAATGCTATTTGGGCCGAAACTCGTAGTATCAGCATAATTTTTTTTGTGTGTGAGAACTACATAGATATTCCAAATAGTACAGTGTTTGCAGTATTGAAGGATTAAGAATACAGTTTGTTTAAAGATTTGTAACAAGGTTGGCATGAATGGAATATGGAGGTTTATATAGGGAAATAGTAAGTGGTATTGAAGCGCAGGAATGGAACTGGATGGTCAAAGGCCTTGTCTTCCATGTGCTGAGGAATTTGGATCATTGCATAGGTTATATATAATAACACTGCGAGGAGTTCAGTTGAAATTGACATGATCGAATTGTGATTTGGAAAGGCCAGTCTGGCTGTTTTGAAGGACTTGCTTGATAGAAGAATGCCATCAAGTAACTGTTGTCATTATTCAGGTAAGAACTGAATTAAGGCAGATGCAGATAGATTGAAGATCAAGGAATTTGGAAGGAGGAAGGGGGCAACTCAAGTTTTTGTCTTGAGCAATGGAGATGGTAGAAAAAAGGCTGTAAGTTCCATTTTGAAATCATAAGCCAGTGGTTAAGAATTTAGCCTCTGAGTTTAGTCTGTGTGGGTCCTTAGTATTCCTCACTCTGCCTCTTTTCAAGTCTTTGGCCTTGGGCAAGTTTCTTAGCTTCTTTGAGCCTGAGTTTTCTCATTTCTAAAATTAGTATATAAATACAACAACCCTTATGGAGTTCTGAGACTTAGATGATGCAAATAAAGCCCTTAGCATGATTTCTGGTTTATATTACATACAACACACACACAGTGTCTAACATAATTGACAACACTGTACTACTGTAACATTAGCATTAGAAATAACCCTGCTCTGTAGTATGACTAACGGGCCACCATCTGAGTGATGTGGGACAGGAATTGCATAGTAAGGAGATTGGCTAGGGTGGGGAGAATACCTGAGTTTTAGAAAGAATGAGTTATAGAAGAATGAGCCAGTCATAATTCTTAGATAAAACTGAGATCTAAATACTAGACCAATAACCAAATAAGGCAGTCAAAGCATAGTAATTTACTTCTTGAAAAATGAGAGCTAGTTCAGAAGACAGGTGGAGCGGAGGAAGGAAATCTCAAATAGAAGAAGAAAAGATTCACAGTCTTGAAAAAACTATTTATGCATGAAAGTGGAGCATAGAATGGTAGGGTTTGCATGAAGACATGAGAATGAGGGTCTATGACCCTTCTTCTTTTTCCTTTAAATATACCTTACATGCCAGTTAAAGGTGATAGGTTACCCCACTAAGAGCACCAACCTATACACAAGCTCAGACAGAGTAGATGGGTTCTGTCTTCCCACCTGCCTCTCACCTTCTCTACATTGACTTCCATAGATCTTGATTTCTTCTTTTCATTTTTTCCATTTGAATTTGATAGTCTCATTCAAAACGTTTTTTTTTTTGGTTTGGTTTGGTATTTTTGATGTGGTAGCTCTACATTACATTACCTTTAAGAATTACTTTTTCATCTTTACATGTGATAAGCACAGACTACTCTATATCCAGTCATTCTTCTAGTAGAGTAAACTTCTAGCATATTGGCAGTGTACCATTTTCCACCTCCATCTGGAAAGGGGGGTCTGATAGTCCTTAAGGGACCTGTTCAAAGAGGGACTTTTTAAAAATCAGTTTGAGGAACAATGTTTTCATTCCTGTAGGTATGGTCAGTGATGTACTCATTTTTTTCTTTTCATTCTCTTAACTGTGCCTTTATTAGAGCAGAAGTTTTTAATTTGTTTCTTTTATGAGTTGTGCTTTTGGTGTCATATCTAAGAAATCATTGCCTAGTCCAGGGCTGCAAGATTTTAAGAAGTTTTGTAGTTTTAGGTTTTATGTTTAGATCCACTGTTAAATAGTAAAATTTTGTCCAAGGTAAAAGGTAAGAGTCCAGGTTCACTTTTTTTTGTATGTATGTGATTGCTCAATCAAAAAGACAATTATTTCTCTACCAGATTACTTTTGTACCTTTGCTAAAAATCAGTTGTCTAATGTGTGTTGATTTATTTCTGAACTCTGTTCCACTGATCTATTTGTATACCTGGACACTAGTACCCGACTATCTTGATTATTGCAGCTTTATGATAACTCTTGAAATCAAAGTTTAAGTTTGTTCTTTTTCATCTACCTTGTTCTTGGATAGGCAGAATTAATATCATCAAAAAAAAAAAATGACCATACTACCAAAAGCACTATAGAGATTCAATGCAATCCCATTCAAAGTCCCAATGACATTCCTCACAGAAATGGAAAAAGCAATCATGAAATTCATCTGTAAAAATAAGAGACCCAAAATAGCCAAAGCAGTTCTTAGCAAGAAGAGTGAAGTAGGCGGCATCACTATTCCAGACTTTAAACTATACTACCAAGCAATAGTAACAAAAACATCATGGTATTGGCACCAAAATAGACCTGTGTAGACCAGTGGTACAGATTAGAGGACACAGAGACAAACCCACATAATTACAGTTCTCTCATATTAGACAAAGATGCCAAAAACATATATTAGAGAAAAGATAGCCTCTTTAACAAATTGTGCTGGGAAAACTGGAAATCCATCTGCAGCAAAATGAAATTAAACCTCTGTCTCTTACCATGCACAAAACTCAACTCAAAGTGGATCAAGGACCTAGAATTAAACCAGAGAACTTGCACCTAATGGAAAAAAAAGTAGGCCCAAATCTCCATCATGTCAGATTAGGTCCCAACTTCCTTAATAAGACTCCTTTGGTGTAAGAATTAAAACCAAGAATCAATAAATGGGATGCATTCAAACTAAAAAGCTTCTTCAATCAGTGAGGTGAATAGAGAGCCTACAGAATGGGAGCAAATCTTTACCATAGCACATCAGGTAGAGCACTAATCTCTAGGACATATAAAGCACTCAAAAATCTTGACACCAAAAAAACCAAATAACCCAATCATTAAATGGGCCAAGGAACTGAACAGACACTTCTCAGAAGAGAATATACAATCAATCAACAAATATATGCAAAAATGTTCAACATCTTTAGCAGTTAGAGAAATTCAAATCAAAACTACTCTAAGATTTCATCTCACTCCAATCAGAATGGCAACTATTAAGAATACAAACAATGATAAGTGTTGGCAAGGATGTGGGGGAAAGGCACACTCACACATTGCTGGTGGGACTGCAAATTGGTGCAGCCAATATGGAAAGCAGTGTGGAGATCCTTGGAAAACTGGGAATGGAACCACCATTTGACCCAGCTATACCCAAAGGACTACAGCCACATCAATGTTTATAGCAGCACAATTCACAATAGCTAAATTGTGGAACCAACCCAGATGCTTTTCAGTAGATGAATGGATAGGGAAACTTTGGTATACATATACAGTGGAATATTACTCAGCATTAAAAGAGAGTAAAATCATGGCAGGTAAATGGGTGGAGTTAGAGAATATAATGCTAAGTGAAGTAAGCCAATCCCCAAAAAGCAAAGGCTCCATGTTTTCTTTGATATGAGGATGCTGACTCATAATGGCGAGGGAGGGGGTGGGGAGGAAGGAACTTCAGATAGGACAAAGGGGAGGGAAGAAAGGGAGGGAGCATGGGAGTAGGAAAGATGGTGGAATGAGTTAGACATGATGACCCTAAGTACACGTATGAAGACACGAATGGTGTCTTTGTGTACAGAATACTTTGTGTACAACCAGTTACTTGAAAAATTGTGCTCTATATGTGTAATATGAAATGAATTGCATTCTGCCATCATATATAACAAATTAGAATAAATAAATAATTTAATTTTTAAAAAAGTTTGTTCTTTTTCAGTAAAGGTGCTGGAATTTTGAGAGGCATTGTATTGAATTCATTGTTCAATTTATGTAAATTCATGACTTAATGATATTGAGTCCTCTGACCAGTGAAAATGCATACTTCTCTGCAATATTTTATAGTTTTTAATATATAGGTTTTGTCATCTTTTGTCAAATTTATCCCTATGTACTGAAGTTTTTGATGCTGTTATCAATGGTATTCTTTTACTTTCAGTTTGACTTTTTTCTCTTTTAAATTTGTTTTAATTAGTTACACATGACAATACAATGATCTTGACATATCATACATATGAATCAGATGGGGTATAATTTCTTATTTTTCTGAGTGTACAGGTTGCAGAATCACATTGGTCATGCAGTCACGTATATCCATACAGCAATAATAAAGTCTATTTTATTCTGCTGTCCTTCCTTTCCCTCCACCCTCTCCCCTTCCCTCCCATCACTTCTCTCTACCCAATCTAATGTGACACACTTCTTTCTTTTTTTTTTTTTTTTTACTTTTTTCATTACTAATATATAGAAAATTTTTTTTTGCGTGCCACCTTGTTAAACTCATTAATTACAGTAAATTTTAGGTAGGTTTTTTAACTTAGACAATCTTATTATCTGAATGAAATGCAATTTTGCCTCTTCTTTCTAATCTGCATGCCTTCATTTCCTTTTGTTGCTTTAGTGCTCTCACTAGAATTTCCTAGAGAATTGAGCAGAAGTGATAAGATGGGAATTGACATCCTATCTTGTTCCTGTTCTTGGGGAGAAAACATCTTTTATATATGAGTAAGACTTTTTAAGATTTTTTTATAGGTGTAGATGGACATAAAACCATCTATTTATTTATTTATTTTTAATGTGATGCTGAGGATCGAACCCAGTGCTCATACAAGCTAGACAAGTGCTCTACTACTGGGCTACAATCCTGTCCCCCCTATTTTTTTTTTATAGGTATCTTTATCAGGATGTTGAGAATGTTCATTTCCATTTCTAGTTTGCCAAGAGATTTTATTGGAATGGATACTAGGTATTTTTTCAAATGCTTTTTCTGAATCCACTGATATGATCATGTTTTTTTCAATTTTTACTTTAACAGGGAAAATTATGCTGATTATGCTGATTAATTTTCAGATGTTAAATCCACCAGCCTTTCTGAGATAAACTCTACTGTGTAATATAAACCTTTTTCTACATTGTTGAATTTGATTTTATCAAAGTTTGCTTAAAATTTTAATATCTATGTTCATGAAACCAACCATCCCCTTTCTTTTTTACTTGCTTTCTTATAATGTCTGTCTGATTTTTGATATCTTAGAATTACGTAGGAAACATTTTGTCCTCTTGAATTTTTTGTGAGTGTTTGTGTAGGATTGGTATATTTTGTCCTTTAATTGTTTGGCAGAATTCACCAGTGAAGCCAAGTGGACCTGGAGTTTTCTTTTTGGAAGGATCTTAAACTACAAATTCAACTTCTTAAATAGAAAGCTATTCATTACTTTGTTGTGTACTTAAAGAGTAATCTCTTTAGATCTTAAATTCACAGAGTTCTTTCTCTGTGAAACCTTCTCTCTTACATAGATTGAGCATTGCTATTTCAAAGATGTGAAGTTTGCAATGCTTGGAAATCCAAAACTTTTGAGCATTGTCATGAAAAACTTATAGATTTTGGAGCTTTTCCGATTTTTGATTAGGATGCTTAACTATTAAATATTCTATGCAAATATTCCAAAATCCAAGGAACTCCCAAATCTGAAACACTTCTGGTACCAAGCACTTTGGATAACTTGTATTGTTTCCTGCCAGTTCTACTTCAGTTGGTCTCCACCAAATCTCTCTTCCATCTTTTTGTTGCAGCCTGATGGTGTTTGCCTCATGTTCTCTCCCTGTACCATGAGCTGAAAAGTCTCTCCAGTCATTCAATGGAGGCAGTCCTAGAGCTTATCTCATTTGTGCCATATCTCTAGTCACCATTATCTGATGTCTGATGGCCTACACACTTGACTTATTTGGGTTTTGTTTGTATCTTTATGGGCATAAGCAAAAGTACTCTTACGTTGCCCCACTTTTGATGTTTTAAACTCAAGTATCTTACTCCAGCTACAACTGTTCTTTGACCTCATCAAAACTTCTATTCTATGAACTCTTATTGTCTTCCATTCTCCTAATGCTTTCCCCAATTCATTTTTATTACTTTCTTGCATAGGCTATAACTGCTGTGCATTATCCATCTACTCTTTTGTAAGTTATTAGTATGATTATTCCCCTTCTATATAGCATATGCCCAGTAACACCTTATCCAGGGATCAGCTGCTTACTTTGCCTTTACTGTTATGCTCAGAGCCTGTTGTCCTATACCCACAGATCTCAACTGGATAACCACCTCAAACTCAAGGTTAACTAATAACCAGTATGTGGCTGACCTGGGAATTGAACCCAGGCAGTCTGGTTTTGTTGTCCATGTTTTTAACTATTCTCTAAAAAACAGACTTGCAAGAAAGGAAAATTATAAACTCATGTTACTTATGTGTATTGGAACTAAAATCCAAAATAAAGTTTTAACAAATCCAGCAGTGAATTTGTGTGTGTGTGTGTGTGTTTATGTATATATATATACATTCATTTAATTATTGGGCTGATTCAAGCAATGAAAAGATAGCTTGCCATTATAAAATTATATAGTTTACAAAAGAATATTTAGATTCACGAAGAAACATCAAATTATATCTTAGAGAACTCAGTATGGTAAATATGTCAGTTCTCCCACAAATTAATGGATAGATTCAATGCAATCCATTTTGACAATCTAGTTCTGAAAGCTTTGTGAACAATTAATCAAGAGTTTAAAGAGAAGCCAGGTGGGAAATTTTGTTTTACTAGGTATTAAAACTTAACATCCAATTATTCACTCAATATAATCTTTGCAAATTGATAGATTATGGGTCAGTGAAATAAAAATTCAGAAATAGATTCACACGTTCATAAATACTTATTATAAGATAAAGCAATATACAAACCAGTGGGAAGAGTTCAAATTATTTAGTGAATGATACTAGGATAATTGGCCATCCAAACAGGAAAGAAAAATAAAAGTATCTTTCCTACAGTATGTAAAAAAATCATCTCCAGATTGATTGAAGGAATAAATTTTCTTTAAACTTTCAGAAAAAAGCATAAGAGGGTATCTTTATGTCTTCAGGATGGGGAAGATTTCCTCAATAAAGTTTTTTTTTAAGTGAAAGGACAAAATATATGAATAGACTACATTAGAAATAAAAACTTGGTTATCACAAAAGACATCATCAATAAATGACTACACCAGTTACAGAAGCAACTGGTTAATATGTATGTATTTGGTTATCTGTAACATAACACAACAGAAAATATGCTTATAAAGTCTAGTGAAGTATTACAAAGCACAATACTTATGAAACCACAACTAAGGTCAAGAAATAGAACATTGCTAGAACTTCAGAACAACCACTCCTTCTCTTCAAATATCGTCAAAGGTAACCAGGGTCTTTAATTTTACACTATAATTTAGTTTTACCTGGGTTGAAGTTTAAAATATAAGATCATAAACTGTGTGTTCTTTTATGTGTGACTTTTTTCTCCAACCTGAGATTTCAGATTTATTCATATCATTGTACATAGACATAATTTGTTCATGTTCATTAGTCTTGGCTATTTTCTTTGCATTTCCATCTATATTTTAGAATTAGATTTTCAATTTCTATAATTTTTTTGAGTATGATCGGAATTGCACTAAATCTATAGATCAGTGTTGAGAGAATTGACAGTTTTACGGTAAACCATGAATATCTCTTAAGTCATTTATCTAGGTCTGTAATTTCTCTCTCCTGGGTGTTTCAGGGTTTGTTTTTTTTGGTTTTTTTGTTTGTTTGTTTTTTGTTTTTTTTTTGTGTGTGTGTGCACGTGTGTGTAAGAGTTTTATACTTCTTTGGTTATATTTATTACTAGGCATTGATGTTATTTGATGATACTGCAAATGACATCTTTTATTGTTTTCTAGTATTATATAACCTGTAATTTTTTTGTATAATTATTTTTTTTATTTCTTGTCTAACAACCTTATTAAACTCGATTATTGATTTTTAAGATTTTTTCCCTTTGTATTCTTTTGCATTAACTGCATACACACTTTTAATTATAAAAAATAACAGGGTTTTCTTTATTTATGGCCTTTATACTTTTTGTTTCTTTTAGTTATTGCCTTATTGCATTAACTTACACTTCCACTAGAGTGTTGAGTAAATATCATGAGAATTTATCCTTGTGTCAGCCTGATTTCCAAGAGAAAGTTTTCAACATTTTTTACCTTACTATGATATTTATTCTGAGCTTTTGTAAGTTTTCATTACCATATTATGAAATACTGTCATAAAATTATCTTGAATTTCATCAATTCTTCTTTGACATTCTTGCCTTTTTTTTTTTTTTTAATACTGGGATTGAACCCAGGGGTGCTTAACCACTGCACATCCCCAGCCCTTTTTATTTTGAAACAAGGTCTTTCTAAGTTGCTTAGGTCTTCATAAGTTTTTGAAGCTGGCTTTGAACTTGTGATCCTCCTGCATCAGCTTCCTGAGACTCTGGGATTGTAGGTTTTTCACTACCATGCCTGGCCGAGATTAGTAGTTTTGATCTTCTTTTTGTAAGTTTATTTTGTATTTGTCCTCTGGGTTTATCTTTATTATTTCCCTCATTTAACTTTTTTTAGGTTTAATGTGCTGTTCTTTTTTTTTTTTTTTTCCCAGCTTTTTTGGAATGGATTTGTAGCTTCATGCTTTTTTTCCCCCCTATTACAGATTGAGCATTTCTAATCTGAAAATCCAAAATCCAAAGCTTTTTTTTCCCCATTTACAGTGGTTAGGTTGTATAAGTATACAAAAGGGACTCATTTTAAGTTCTTAAATAGTATGTTGAAATTAATTGTTCATCTTATGTTGAGGAGCAGTGGAAGTGGACTCTAGCCATTTTTCACAGGTTATATCAAATAACTACTACTATTTGTCTAGTTTTAAAAAGCTGAACATTACCCAATGAGCTTAAATTGGTTTTTCCCTTTGTTTCAGATCAAAGACTAAATGAAGATTTTGGGACACATCAAATGGAAAAATTTTCTAAACATTCATCTATACAGGTATGTAAATTAATTAAGGTCTAATGAGCCAGATTCATATTTAGTTGTAAATATATCTATATAAATCAATATACATATAGTATAAGTTCTACTTAAAATTATTCTCATGTGAAGTTGTCTACAACACTTTGAAATTTTGCTTACAACTTCGATTCTTGTAAGAGGAAAGTTTGTTTTTGCTTGATGAAAATACACTTTTTGTCCACAAGAATTGCTTATTCTCCCTCAATGTTGGAGGAATGCGTGGTGTTAAAATGTCTTGTGAGTTCCAAAAATAAAATTCATTCAGGTTTTCAAACATCCTAAATTTGTTTCTAAAAATGTATCTAGTTGTGTGCTATAACTCTCAATTCTCATAAATTGTGACAGAAGTATAAATTAACTCAAATAGTAATATATAGAATTTTTAAAATATTTATTTCCTTGAATATCATGTTTTAATAAAAATTTTGGGTGTAAAGAAGTTTTTTAACCATTAAGATTTCTTATTGAACTCCATGTATAGAATATTAAAAGAACAGTGGTGGCTCCTAGATTAGCAATGTTCTCTTCTGAAACAATGAATGTTTTGTTTTGCCTAAGTGTATCTTATAATTGGAACAGAAATGTTTTTAATGTATAAAAAATGAAGAAATTGTTTTTGAGGTATTAGAAAGGGCCAGTTTATTGTTGGCTTGAATATAGTTATAATTTTTTTAATGTATCCTCAATGTTCGGTTGCTACTCTGTGTTTTTATTTCCAAAAATTGAACTCAAGAGTCCATAGAATCCTAAAGCCATCCATCCTCTATTCACTGTGATTATCATGTTATTTTTTATATATATATTACATTTTTATGGATACTTAACAAAGAACTGTAATCATTTAAATGATAGAAAATCTTTCATAATCCAACAACCTTTAATTTCATTAGTTTCTTAGGGTTTTTGATTGCTCTGTTTTGTTGTGCCTCTGCTGAATATTTTGTAGCATAGACCTGAAAAGATCTCTGGGCAAGTTGTTGCAATGCATCTGCTTGAAGCTATGACTGACTTGATTATTAAAGATGGTTTTACCAGATAGCCCTTCAGATGTACCTGCATTATGCATTGTGATTATAATTAGTTGAAGCCTGAGGGTAGCAGACCAAGAGGGACAAATCTGCACTCACCCAAAAGTATACCCTTTCAGAGCAATTATACCTCTTTTAATTCTCTGAAGGTGCAGGTTCTCTTAAACACACATCAGTCAAATCCTGATTCCTATCTCTTATTTTTAGTGGTAGCATTTTGTTCCTGCCTAAGATTCCTCTACAGTCCCCCATATCTTTAGCACATGTTGCTGTTTCAAAACTCCCATCCCCATGGGTCTTGCTTTTTACTACATAGTTTGTGATCCTGAGAAGGGAGGTGATACAAAAGCAGAGAGGGAGATTAGTCTGCTTTCTCCATAATGCCCATAGTCTCTGCCTATGCAGTGAGTGTTCCTTTTGAGTTCTTTACTCCAGAAACATTAATTGAATTTCTGGAAAAAAATCCTCAGGAGAATTTTGTTTGTTTGTTTGTTTTCTGTTCATTTTATAGTAAGAGAAAAAGTACACAGGAAATATTATCAAGGAGCACAGGGGACCCAGAAGCATGGGTCTTGTCACTGTCATTTGGTTGCTACTGCAAGCATTAGAAATCCTTCATGAATTTTTTGCCTCCTTTGTACAGCTATGTGTTCCAGATGTCTAGAACAGTTCTTATCAGGAGGTGCTTGATCAATATTTCTTGATCTTTCCCCTCCATCCCTACCTGATGATCTTTCAACATGATTTGAATTGTCACATATAATGAAAGTTAGGGAGATGTGAAATGTTATGATCAGCTTAGGAAATACAAGTGCATATTTTGTCATTTTATTTTTCAAGATGGTACATGAGGTACCCTAGAATTACCAGGACTTGTGTTAGATGAACATATTTTATGGTTTTCCAATATTGGAAAAATAAAGTTGCAGGAATTTGATATTTCTTGTATTTTTAGTTTGAACTTCAAAAATATTTTTTGTGAATGAAAATTAGATGTGTAATGGTGAAAAATCCTTTAGTGGTATTAGTATAAAATGTTCATGTGAGCTTATATTGGAGCAAAGTAAGTTTTGTGAATTGCTTTTTAAAATGACCATTTGAAGAGTATTGTTCTTAGAAGAATACATGTTATCTTTAGAACTAGCTATACTTAAATTCTATGAACATCTCTGAATACTGGAGTCTTTCAATAGGTTGAAAAACTTATATATTTAATATATTAAGTATCTGGCTCATTATATATTCATAATATAATCAGCTTTTAAAAAATCTTATTTCTCCATTTATAATTATTTGTAACTTTTTAAAGATATTTTAAATAGTAACTGTTTATTAAATGATCCCTTCAGGATTCTTATGAAATTTAGTTTCTTTTTAAATTATTTTTTATTCTCTATATAAGTAGAAAATATTTCCAGTGGCATTGTACTCTGAAAGTGTCGTAATGGGCACTAGATGAAAAATATGCAAAGATTAGAAATATTTCATTTAAGGAAGTGAGTGGGAAATTAATTTCTGTCTTTTCCTAATTCTTTCTTCCTGTTTTTGTTTGTTTGTTTGTTTGTTTGTTTCTACTGCAAACTTGCCTTTTCTTGCACCCAGGCTAATTGAATCCTCTTTGTAACCTGTGCCATGGCGGTATGTGTGTACTGAGAGGGGAGGCTAATATTTTGGCTCTCTCTGGATATGCTGAGGAGACAGGGTGAAATATTAAAAATAAGTTACTTTTTCTGAAAGCTATCCTAAAAATATTTTCCTCCTCTATCTTGGGAATTCTCTTTTTTCTCATTATCCCTTGTAAACAAAATTAAAATTTACAAAGAATAGTCTGCTAGGAAAAAAAAGACATGTTAAGCTGCAATTAAAAGGATGTAAGGAATAACCTAAAAGCACAATGCCAGAGCTGTGTGAGTGTGCTCTGGTGGGGAAGGACATTGGCTTACTCAGCAAACACTAGTTTATTCACTCAACGTACGCCTGTGCTAGGTAAGCTCTGGAGCCAGAGCTATGAAAAAGATAGATGAAGGATCCTCCTCCCATGGAAGAGATATGAATTAATTAAATAATTGAAATTACAAAATTCTACAAAGAAAATAAATAGGGAACTGTGATACAGTCTTTGTAGGCCGTCGGGTAACAGAGACCTGTTTTTGGAAGTCAGAGAAGGCCTTTCTAACTCAAGCAAGATAGAACAGAAAATAAAGAACTAACCAAAGACTGTACCAAGAAGAGGCCTTGAGAAAGGAAAGGATTTGGCATGTTTTATGCAGTATGCAGGAGTTGTTCCCAACTCAGATCAAATAGTGGACGAATGAAAATTGCATGGAAGCAGACACTAAGGTGCTGTGGGTTAACAGATATAAGACTCAGCAGGTTAAATACAGCACTCTATCTGTACTCTTTGACTTGAGGCACATACCGAGCTTTCAGGACATTGTTGTCTGATAGAACTTTCTCTGATGGAAATATACAATTGTGCACTGTCCATTTTGGTAGCTACTAGTCTCATGAAGCTTTGAGCATTTGAAATTAGGCTAATACACATGAGAAAGTGAATTTTTAAATTTAATTTGGCTTTTAAATGAATGAAATTAGGTTTAGCTAGTCTTATATGCTTATGGCTCTTGCATTGATCAGTGTAGTTCTAGACTTCCAATCTGATGAATCATCCATATAAACCCTTGAAGCACTGATTTTTCATTATCCTATGACAGTAAGATATTATTTAACACATTTTTTAAACAAAGATCCAACTGAGTTTAGCAATTTCTTATGCTGTACTGATAAGAGATGAAAATCTCTCTCCCTATGATCTGAATGAAAAGCTTAAAGGATTTGCTGAAATCCTCTAAAATGTATAAGAACATCATCACAAAATGCTGGTTAGGCTGTACTTTATTTGGGGAATAAATGGATGGGGAGTATGCCATTTACTTATTTGATAGGCAATACTGATTAGAATCAAAGGCAAAATTAAAAACTCAGAATTGTAATTAGAATGTTTGATGAGTGCATAATTTTGTTAGAGGAAGAAAAATATCCAGAGAATGTGCTTACCTAACTGCAATCTATTGACTTTTTTTTTCTGTGTTTCACAATCACCATCATCTTACAAAGTCATCATGAAATCAAAGATTAATAGAAATTAATGAGGATCAGGTTTTTTAAAGATTCACTATATATAAAGTTCTATAAATATTTTGTTTATTTAGCATAGTTTGTTCATTTTTTTAAAGAATGTAGAAAAGTCATTTACAAATGTTTATATAGTCAGTTTTAGTCTTATTCTGCCCAGCATGATTTTTTCAACTACATCTTTTATTATTAAGTAATGGAATCTTTTTTTCTAAAAATTTCACTATCAACTGGGAAGGGATTGCTAAATCTACATTTTTTATTCTTCCAAAGACTTTTTTAAAATATAAGTAAATTTATCATGTTTATTCTAGGAATCTTACACCTTTTATAATTGCTTTGGATTATCGGGTCATTCATTTTTATTCCTCAGCAACTGTTACTACAATATATTTTTAAACATTGTTTTCACAGAATTCAATTTATTAATACTTATTGAGTACTACATTTATGCAAGGAACCATGCCAAGTTCTTTAGTGATGTGAATAAAATAAAATGACCATATCAAAGGAGCTTAAAAACAAGATGTGGGGATACAAATATTAAATAACTGGGTAAAAGGGTATGCAATTATATCTTAAAAGCATTAAAACCAAATATGTCACAAAAGAAATATAGTTGGAGAAACTGAGAAGCAGTGTGAAGAATATAGCATATCTGTTAGGCAATAAAGAGTAGGTAACATTTCAAAAGAACTTGATTGGAGGCCAAAAGAGGGGGTGATGGAAGCATTTTAGATGCACCCACTGATCTGATGAGAGGCCAAAGGAGGCAAGAAAGTGAGAGCTGTATTTAGTAAATAAAATATACTT